ATTATACTGGGTACATCAGGCCCAGTTTAGCTGAAAATAATTTTAAATTGGTCGAAAAATGGCAAAAAGTTTGAAAAAACGCATCACGCTTGTTTCGTTGTTAATAACAATAATTTGCTTCTTCACTAAAGTAAACATTGTTTGCATTTATTGTTTACATTCTGGCGTTGTTTGTGAAACTCGCATTACGAGAGCAAATGTTGATTCTTGGAAGTAAATAAATTTTACAATAGTACCTATTTGTTACATTCAGTATCCCGTTCAAAATGAACCGAATTTTTCCGATGAATAGTTGATATGTAGGACTGTTTTATTGGTAGTTATTCAGAGTTCGTGAGATGCGGTCTGGTATGATGTAGGTGTCAGAAAAACATTTTCTTTATCGTGCCAACGTTTCGATTTTTATTGGGACCATCTTCAGGGCCTGGAATTTACACACATTGTTTAAATTTAACAAAAACATGTAGACTGTGGAAAAAATGAATTTATACAATGCAAAATATATATATATTTTTATATGTTCAATCAAAGTATTTCTATTATTGATAGTGGTGATATTGCGTGTCGTGCAGTCGGATTGTACTCTGAGAAATTTCCTGATCGCCCCAAAGTAAACCACAAAACTGACCACAACTGAAAAAAGAGGAGATACGGATGAGTTGCTGTTCCATCACCAAGAACCGGCAGAGTGATGTTGACGAGGAGCTGAATATTAGCGAAAATCCGAATTCCTCCGAAATGTTGGAAGAGTTTAGGTTTTTCAAAAATTAAATGAGAGATGTAATCCGGACTTACAATGTTAAGTCGTGTCGCCCTCATGTTGTCCAAAGACTTCGGGATTCTGATCATGACAGCTGTCTAACTTAACTTGCCCAAGTGTCGATTTAGGAGGCTAAAGAAAACGTTCTTCCATATATCCTACGGACTGATAAATTCAAATTAACTTCTTTCTTCTCATTGAAAATTTAACGTAGTTTTCAATGGTATCTACGGATTTGTCCAATTTTTTTTAGTTTTGGAGTTATCATTGCTATTTGAAGCAAGGTCGTGAAACATTAAAAAATCAGAAAAATGGGAATAACTCCGAATCTGTTGAGATTCGGAAAATTGTTAATTAGGACTTTTTGGTTCCGTTTAGAATGTAGAATCTACAAGCAAAGTTTGCAACACGAGTAGCCGAACACCAAGTATACAAGAACCGCATGACGATCTTCAAGCAATTGATTATTGTAAAAGGAAGGTTTTTTTTTAAAGGGCTGGCAATGACCTCAGGTGTTTGTCGACCCCTAAACTTTCCCATAATCTCCAATTATCTATAATCTATCATTTGTCTTTCATTGCTTATTAAAAATTCAATACCAGAGGTTTTAAGAGCTTTTTGAGTTTAAGATCGCAGAAAACTACTTCCATTACCTTTTCTTTTCGAAAAGTCTTTACAAATATTGCTAAGTTTCTTAATTGGGAAATAGCGATACGACTGCTTTGGAATTCCACGAGTTAATAAAATATTTACGTAAATTTACATTTGAGAATGGTCCCAGATTTCCAAGTTTGAAATCGAAATGGGCTCTGGTTGAGCTTTAGAGGGTCAAAGGCTTTCGCGGTGATTAGATGCACTGTATAATCCAGCAAGGCGCAGTTGGATTAACACTAATTAATATGTGCGAATCCTGCCTCGCCGTTTAAACGGGTTCCTATCGAATTTGCGATCAACAACAAACGGAAACGTAAATCGTGTTGAAGTTGGCAAACAATCATCAGGGAGAATGTTTTCCATGGTTTATTTTATTAAAACTAATATTAATCTTTCCTTCGCTTTGTACTGTACGTTTTATTTTTATTGGCAGTTCATTACAACTACCTAATTCGGTAACATATAACAATGAGTTAGGAAAGATATATAAAATTAAAAACAAGATTTACTAAAGATGTTAAAATTTTGTTTAATTTATACTTTTGTTATTACTTTATTCTTCAGTCGATGAGGAGGATTCGAAGGAATTTTTCGGGATATGAATTTTTGCTGATTACGTTGGTTGGGAGGATTTTGTGAAATTTTCAATAACAGGAGCGGATTTCATGTTGAACGAGAGGCATGTTTAAGTCTGTATGTCGGCCGAATCGGTTTAAGCGTTGATACCTCTCATCGCTGTAACGAAAAAGTCCCGGGTTCGAATCCAGCGGACATGCTTCAAAACAGACATACCTACAAATATGTCAAAAACACCGGCACCCCGAGGATTCATATAACCTCGTAGATGGAAAACCTCATAAAAAAAGTCCGTATATTTTGGTTCACCAAGTATGAGTCTTTTTCAGTTCCTGCTCGTCAGACAGTCAGGGATTTCGCACTAGTGGCAAGAAATTACTCTGTTTTTTGGGACTTTTTCATGTTCGACTCTCAATTTCCACTTTTACGAACAGACAAACTTACCCACTTGGCTTTCATGGGCTGTAAATCTAGTAGAATATTACAAAGTTCTTGAACTGAATGATTGTATAAACAGGTTTACAGAAGACATCCTTTAATACGAACTGTTCAATTAATACTTTTAAATATGTTTTGTATAAATAAAGTTCACAGTTAATTTTGGTACAGTGCGAAAGTATTAGAATGTACCAAAGATTCGCTTATAAGTTTTCTAAGACAAAGACTTCACGGTCGGCAAGTGAGAACTTTTGCACGAAGTTTAAATCGCATTCTACGGTACGCCATGCGAGAGAAGCTCCGTTAAGTATTGAAGCCGCACGTATTGAACTATGGGAGCTAAGTCCTTGTCCTTAGTGACCTGTATGCGAGATTTCCAGACGGCCATCTTTTATACACCGACGGGTCACTCCTAAATGGAGGAGTAGGGTGTGCATTTTACGATCCCGCAAAATTACAGCGAAAAGTTCTTCCACAGTACCTATCCATATATAGTGAAGAATTGATTGCTATAAGGGAAGCTATGAAGTATGCGAATGATAAGCAAATCCCAAATGTCGTCATATGTACAGATTGTCATAGCTGTATTCAAAAACTTCGTAATGACAAAAAGTTGTTTATAGCGGACTACATTATCATCGAGATTCTTGAAGTTTCAGCAATGATCAGGTCTAAAGGGCATAAAGTAGTAATCACCTGGATCAAAGGCCATACGGGTTTCAAACACAGTGATGTAGATCGGCTAGCCAAATATGCCACCACAACGAACAACACTTTAAATGTAGCTGTACCCAGAAAAGATCTGCATGCTATATTATGGTTGCTTCAGGAGATAGATTGACAAACCAAATACCTTTCAAACAACAAAGGTATATTCTACAAAAATATGTTTCCGTTAGTAGGACAAGAGCCTTGGTTCAGCAAAGAAAACAATATAAACAAGGCCTTTTGCAAAACTATGGTAAGGTTACGATCCATTCACGGACTCTGCAAGGGATACCTCAACAGACTGAATATATTACAATTAATTAAGGTTTTTAGTCGAGATAAAAAAGACGATGGCACGAGCGGGATTCGAACCCACGACCTCCGGCTAGATGAAGTCCATGTCCAGAAAAATTGACTTCGATCCATTCGGACACCAAAACATGAAAAATGGCAAAAAGAAGAGAAAATTCTAACGGTCGAGATGGAAAGTTGACGTCACTAATTTTCCAACTCGACCAAAAACCTTAGATAAAAAGAATAATTAATTGGTATTGTAATAATATTTAAGATTAATTTTTCGAATAAATAACAATAGTATTTAAACTATTTAAATATAAATATAGCTGTCGAATTTCATAGTTTTTTAAATCTAAATAATTGTAATTTAAAATTCTATACCATAATCGTCAGTTTATTCTACCTGGATTTGCATAAGCGCGATAGAATACAAAAAATAATTTTTTTTCTCTGCTTTCGCAACATGAATAATAATTTTTCAATTAAATAATATTTAGGAAATGTATTGGTTGAGATAAAAAAGTCAATGGCACGAGCGGGATTCGAACCCACAACCTTCGCCTAGATACGCCGCTGCTCTACCACTTGAGTATCGTGACATCGATCCACTCGGACACTAACTTCCCATCTCAACCCCACCTTTTGAATTTTCCCTCCTTTTTGCCATTTTTCAAATCTCGTGTAATCGGATTGAATTCTCGACGACAAATGAATGACCTCAAAAGGTGCGGTTGCGATGGTGACATTGGTGACAACAAATAAATTCTTTTCAATTAATTAAGGTTTTTAGTTAAGATAAAAATGTCGTGAAAAATGCCTAAAAGGAGGGTGAATTCAAAAGGTGGGGTTGAGAAGAGAAGTTAGTGTCCGAGTGGATCGAGGTCACGATACTCAAGTGGTAGATCAGCGGCGTATCTAGCGGAAGATCGTGGGTTCGAATCCTGCTCGTGCCATTGATTTTTTTATCTCAACTAAAAACCTTAATTAATTTGTAATATATTAATTGGTCAAGCGAACCACGAAATTAGTGAATTTAAAGACTGAATATATTTCCATCACGTACTGTGAAGAATTTGGAACATACTAGGATCTTGAACACATTATCATGCTCTGCAGGAAACACGGGAATAAACGCAGAAATATGTTTAATGATTTTAATGCCAAAGAAATAAATCTACAACCGCCTTATGTATACGGTACTTTGTTATCGTCAACCAATCAATTGGCTGTATATCGTGAGTTGTATAAAAATATCCTAATATCTAGTTCTCAATAATAATAATAATAATGCAATAATGTAAAAAAAAATGGCTGTATAAAAATCTTTTAGTAAAAAAAAGTCCTTGTTTCTATTTATGTTTTTCCTTCAAACCGCATAGATAAAACATTGCCTGAAAGATTCGCTTCTCGTATTGTATGGCAATTTGGTAGTGAAGATGGAGGAGAAGACAAATAAACACGGTAAATAACAAAAATGGAGATATTTCAGATATGAAAGCTTTAATATTTTTCTATTATCCTTAATAAATTATTTGAGTTGAATCGCCGATATAATAAATATAACTACCTGAGAATTATGACTCCAGAGGACTGATGGAGGAGGTTCCGGTGCAAACCTAACCAGGCATGTCAGGTTGATAGTGCTTCCTTTTTGTATGAATACGTCTGGCCCTCCAAGAATCTCTGTTACTGGTTCTATAACAAAAAGAATACGATATTATTTTTTTATATAATTATCTTTTGAACAAGTGATAATGTCTTTTTATACGGTATTAATCCTAGGCCGGTCCCCGCCAAATTAGCGATTTTTGTTGAAAATCAACCCATTTAATTTCAAATTAACCCGTTTTAACTCTAAATTAACCATTTATAATTTAAAACATACCCTTGCGTAAAACTGAACTTAAAATTAAGTTATCCATTTTTTACTAAAATTTAGCCATTTTAATATCAAATTAATTCGTTCTTTTAAAGCACTATAAAAACTCAGAAGATGGTACAAATTGTGATCGTCTGATTTAAAAGTCTTGTATATTTAATGTGTAGAATAATTGATCTATTAGAAGGTCATATGAAAATTTAATAAATCAAAATTAAAAATTCTATAAAATAAAATATAAAAATTAAAGATTCTTTTTTAATGTGATAAATGGGGGTTTACATAGCCAAATTATTTTATATTTAAAAGATTAAATCAAGAACCATTTGTTTTTATGATTAATTTTATGTTTTTTTAAGTTTAATTGTAATTCATTTTCATATGGTTTTTTATTTCAAATGGTTTATTTATTTTTTTTTAATACGTGCTCCATTTTATACCACCTTTTAGGTTTACGGTGTTTTGAAAAAAAAGTTCACTTGAAATCAAAAAAGGGGTAATTTCATTTAAAAAAATGTTAGGGATTAAAAAGGTTCATTTGGAATTAAAACTTGTTCATTTGAAGGTAAAAAATGTTTAATTTGAAATTAGAAAAGACAAATTAGATATTTAAAATTTGGATTCATTTGGGAAAATGGATTTATTTAGCGTAAATTGAGCTACATATTCACCCTAATAAATACATTCAATATAGAGAAGAAGTAGGAGAGACATACAAACCAGTACATTTATTAACTACTGTATATATGGTTAAATGTCAATACTATCATGGTGGATTCTGTAAATAAAAGTAGTTCAGTGCCATATAAACATTTTTCCTATATGGCGTTCCTGAGATATAAACATTTTTGTGATTTTAATTTTTTTTTAACATAAAATTTCTCAACTTTAGCGGTATTAAAATACAAATCGGACCTTTATTTCGCAAACTAGATTAAATTTTGCACAATGTAACAACATTTGCGTTAAAAATTAGTACTTCCGTATACACAGTAGCGGCCCAAAGTAAACAAATGGCAAAACCTATATTTTTTGGAAATACTCAATTGTTGCTCCTGCAATGGCTTAAAATGATTAAAAATTATTAAAATTGTTCTAAATTCGAAATCTAGTATTATCTAATTTTTGTTACCAACTAATAAATTTTTTTTATTAAAAATACGACATGTGCTATGATCTTGGGATGCCGCTCTCCTGGGTTTTCGGTATCACTCTTTTCTACATTGCAAAAGAAATTTCACTAAGAAAAGTTCTAAAAACGGTAAAAGTGAGTACGTTCTTGTAATAAATATAAAATAAGGCTATTTTGGTGAATTCCTCGAAAATTTTGATGGAAAAGTCATAAAAATCATTGCACGAGTCACAATAAAGTATTTCGAAAAAACATGGATTTTGCTGTTTGTTATCCTTTGAGCGGCTACTGTTCGGAAGGGCAAATTTTCAAACGGAAATGTTGTCATCGTGATGAAAATTTAAATTAGTATGGAAAAAACAAAGGTCAGGTTTGTAATTTAATAACGCTAAAGTGGAAAAGTTACGATTTTTTGTAAAAAAATCTCATTTTAGATTAAAATCACACAAAAATTTCTCGTTCTGATGGCACTGAACTGTTTAAACTAGTGAATCCACCATGACTATATTGACGTTTAACCCTGTAACACCCAGTATATATGTATAATATAACAATAAAATAATCTCAACTTAAAAGAAGGAAGCGGCTGCTCTACCACTCTGTCACGATAGCTCAAGTGGTAGAGCAGCGGCGTATTTAGCCGAAGGTCGTGAGTTCGAATGCCGCTCGTGGCACAAACTTTTAAATTTCGACAAAACCTTACATAAAAATTATTATTTAGAGATCGTGATGCGTCTGGTGTGACGTAGGTCTTAGAAAAACATTTTCTTTATCATGCGCGTTTCGGCCTTTATTGAGATCATTTTCAGTGCTCAAAGTGTTTGTTTTCCGTGTAGATATGTCATCCTTGTGTGTCATGTTGAGACTCTCAACACGACACACAAGAATGACACAATTACGCAGAAAACGAATAATTTGAGCTCTGAAGATGATCTCAATAAAGTTCGAAACGTTGGCACAATAAAGAAAAAATATATTTTATATTGGCATTAATTATTTTATAGTCTTCTAGGAGTAATTTTTTTTTAGATGCAGACTCAACAAGGGTTAACTTCAACTTAAAAACATTAATTTCCAAATTAAAGAGGTTAAAAATAAATTATAATGTGTTGGTTTATAATTAAAAATGGTTAATTTTGTACGAAAAGCTATAAATCTTTTCTTTTTGTAGCCATAATTTTGATGGCTTTTATCGTAGAGATTTGCTTTCTGACATGCGCGAACATAACAACGGAAAATAAATAAAATTTTCACGAATGTGGTTGACAAATAGTTACAAAAATCGAATTGAATGCGGCCGAACCGTACACAAATTGGGACGAAAAGAAAATCTCTGATTGCCAAAAAGGAATTTAACATCTGGAGGTAACAACGATTTGAACGCAGGTCCCACTCTGCAAAAGGGTTGATAAACGAGTAATCACGTCTTCAGGAAAAATGACACCTTCTGACTATAAATAGAAATCCAGGAATCGGAATTGTTGTAAACCTACCGAAGGTTAAAGAAAATGAATAAAAGTATTTGGACGTCAGGTGATGCCAATTTGGATATAACAGGTTGTCAATTTTAACTCCGACATGGTTAGGGACCTTCAGAATTACATTTGTAGTATCGAATTCTAAGAAAATTGTGTTCTATATACATCAAATCTCTATTGTTCTACATCTTCCAGAAATCATAACTCTAATATTTTTCACAAATTAATGCTAAATTTATTCTTAAAATATAAGGATAAAAGTCATGGAAATATCCTTACTTTACTTTTTTATGGGGAAAAAGAAAGATGATCCTTTCCAATTTAGCCCGATTTTTTTTCAATATAGGCAGTCGGCCATGCGTAATAAATAAAATGTAACGATATTATACAAAAGCCAATGTATTGTGTCCAAGATAAAACACATTTTAATTGCCCTGTTCGTATTTCACGAAACAAATGTACAATGGTTTTTGTTTTGTAAGACCTAAGTTAAAAAAGAATGAAATTAACGACGAGCGAGTGGCCCTACTGTCTATATTACAGTAGACTTAATTAACAAGCAAAGGAAAAAAACCGTGACGAATACGTAACTTGTTTTATAAGAAATACAGAATTATATAGAACAATAAAAATTATTTAAATATGCTCAAATTTCTAACGATCATTATCATTTTTTTAAAATAGAAATTCAATTATCTATATATGATTTTTCGAAATGAAAATTATTTGTCACAGGCAGGATTCGAACCCATGACTTTACAGGAGGGGATAGAGCTACAGACTATTGATCCAAAGATCATGGGTTCAAATCCCGCATATGGCACAAATTTTTTATTTACAAAAATCGGGTGTGATTAATTTAATATATATTTTGTAATAAATACAATAAAAATTAACAACGAGCGCGTTGTTGTCTATATTACAGTAGAATTAATTAACAAAGTATAACAAAAAATCCCTGACGAATACGTAACTTATATTATCAAAAATACAGAAATATTTATAATAGTTAATAATTATAAATACGTACACATTTTAATCGATCATTATCGTTAATTTTGTTTTAAAAATTGAATTAATTATAAACCATTTTTTGAAATGAAAAATGTTTTTTACAGGCAGGATTCGAACCCATGATCTTAGAGGGGTGGATAAAGCATCAGAATAATGATCGAAAGATTGAGGGTTCGAATCCCGCATATGGCACAAATTTTCCATTTTCAAACATCGTATATAATTAACTGAATATACATAACAATAGATAAAATATAAATTAACAACTAGCAAATTACTGTTTATATTACAGTCGACTTAATTAACAAGTAATTAAGGTTTTTAGTTGAGATAAAAAAGTCAATGGCAGGAGCGGGATTCGAACCCACGATCTTCGGCTTGATACGCCGCTGCTCTACCACTTGAGCTATCGTGACCTCGATCCACTCGGACACCAACTTCCCATCTCAACCGCATCTTTTGAATTTTCCCTCCTTTTTGCCATTTTTCAAATGTCGTGTAATCGGATTGGATTCTCGACGACAAATGAAATGGCCACGGAGAGCTTTAGTGAAATATACTTCATTTTAAAGTATTAAATTCACTAATTTCGTGGTCCGCTGGACCAATTAATATATTACGATTAATTAAGGTTTTTAGCTTTAGGTTAGCTCAAGTGGTAGAGCAGCGGCGTATCAAGCCGAAGATCGTGGGTTCGAATCCCTCTCGTGCCATTGACTTTTTTTCTCAACTAAAAACCTGAATTTATTGTAATATATTAATTGGTCAAGCAGACCACGCAATTAGTGAAATTAGTTATATCGTTTCGAAATGAAAAATATTTTTTAGAGGCAGGATTCGAATCCATGATCTTAGATGGGTGGAAGGAGCATCAGAGTTCGAATCTCGCCTATGACATAAAAAAATAAGTATATTTAACTGAAAATATATATCGTAATAAATATAATAGAATTATATATAAAATATAGGGAAAAGATGTATACAGATTAACAGGTACAATACGTCCGATTGGTTTTTGTCATTTATTTTATATTAAATTTAATTAATTTTCACATAGACTGGAAAAATAATAAGAAAAAGCATAATGGAATAAATATATTAATTAAAGTTTAAAAAAGTTGATATCAGCCTGTTTTACTTTCGAATTTGATCGGAAAAGTCTCTTCAAATTTAGTAATTTCTTATAGAAATA